GTTTCTTTGTTTGTTTTTTGAATGATGCCTCAATGGATTTTGAGTAAGTGTTGCATCCATCATGTAAAATACCGAGATCCTCTTCCTGGAGCGGGGGCAGGAGATGATCGTGATGGGACTTTGGTAGGTGCCCTTGAGTGATCTGCATTTTTCAATTAATGCCTGGAAGAGAGTCTTCTTAGACAAGCTAGCTCTACTTACAGTATTTACTTATTACACATAACAATGTAGCTAATCCTCACTGATATATAACCTTCCCTTGCTGATACTTAAACTAAGCAACTCGAGGGGGAGATTGAATGCCTCTAAGACTTGCCCAACAAAAGCAACCACTTTGCTAGTTGAGTCCATGGAATTTCCTCCTCGCCATTACTTTGACTCACTGCAGATGGTGGGGGAGGAATCTCTCTAATGCTGTAAGTATTGGGATTTCATTAAGGAACTTTTATTAATGGTAAATTTCCTGGCGTCTTTCCCAGTGTGCAAGTTCTCTGTTATCTACCATGAAAATGGTCAAGCTGCTTGTTCCTTACATAGGCCAGCCACTTCTAACACTCACCAGAAACTTGGAGTACTATTGGCAAATCCTCAGTTCCCATAGCTTGGGGTTAATATTGTCATACTTTTTTTATTATTATTTTGGTAATGGATTCTGTGGCAGAGGATTTCTGTACTGTGCACATTGTACATAAGTTATGGAGAAATGCTCCATGAGGGATGGATAAAAATGCATATCAGGGAAGAGAAACTGGCAAAAACATTGCAGAAAGAAAGGTATGTATAACTATCTATAGGAGGAGAAATATGCAGGAAAAGGCATACGTGCTACTGGGATTCCATACACACAATCTCTCTCTCACACACAGATCCATGGACACACACCCAAATGTGCAAAGAAGCAGAATCAAACATGGTGGTGTGGAGTGTGTGGGCCTGACAGAATATTGCCACAGCTTTTTATTCTCCAGCTCCCTCCATTGGCACTGAGGGACTAAGAGACAGTGGCAGAAGAAAGGTTTCAGTTGGATCTCCATCCTGGTTGGATTTGCAGAAGCTGTCCCAGTCCGCTGAGGTTACCGCCTGTGAGAACCTCAGGAGAAAAGTTCTACATGATGCTGATCACACATCTGCAAGGAATGCCAGCTACGATCCAGAAT